ACATGAATGCATATTTTTATTTTATTTTACTTTAATAAATGCATAATGAACATATGATCCAATTAAGAACTTATCCTAGTTCACTTGTGCATATAAAATATGGAGCGCATCTTCTAGTGCATGGGTGTCAAACTCAATTGCATCATGTGACGTATCGTGACATATCGTGACGATTTTTGCCTTTGTGGAGCCGGGTTGGGCATGGCCTGCGTGTAATGCATCCGATCTGCGGGCCACCAGTTTGACACCCCTGTTCTAGTGTGTTATGTGTCTCTGTTTTATAGCTTTGCTTTTATTTCTTCCTCTTTACAAGCTTCTTTGATATGATTGATATGACATTGAGTTTCTACATTTTACAGCCATTTATTCCTCTTTTCGGTCCTCAGATTACTTCTTTGATTGCTATTTCATAAGGAATGTGTGCATGACTAGTGCGGCATATTTTGCTAAGCCCTAATGTGGTTCGTCTGGTAATGGATTAGCATATTGTACGTGTTTAGCTATTTTGAGTGTATTCAAGAAGAAAGGAAGATAAAATAGAATTATTAGTAATTATAATAATGATCATGCTGCTTTGCAAACAGTAGAATATAGCTTAGCATATGTATAACTCTAGTCAATTATTTATTCAGTAATCTATGATTAATAAAATGAAGTCTTGCATATTCTATTTAGGAAGCACTGGAGGGTTCCATCTAATGCTATATGAATAAATCATCTCCCTTTTCTCCTTGTCCCTGCAGTCTTGTGCCTCCAGTTTCATTCAGAAAATTTTGTAATTCTACAGAGCAAATTTCATATTCATTCAGGGAGTGGAGGGGCAGAATTTGTTCCACTAGCCTTGTCTTGACTGTTAGTGACACTATTATTTTGTATATTTAAAATATTTTATATCTGAAACAAAACCAGCTGTACTTTATGAAAATATTATATTGACTGAATTGTTCATCATGAACATTCTTACATTAGATTACTTTTTGTCTCATTTATTAGGTATAATATATGTGTTGTATATATTGAAATTTGCAATTATACAAGTGATTTACCTTGTGTCCTTAATTTAGCATACATACTGTTTTGTAGGTTGAAAAAAAATGCCTTACTTTTATTATTTGACCTTCTAGGCCTAAAACTGGAAAAGCAAGCTTGAAATATATCACTCTACATCAAAAAACTATTCTGTGACTCTAGGTTATCTGTTAACTTAGAACAAAAATGCAGTTAATACATAATTTTGTTTTATGGATAAAGGATATATCAATATCAATTGATCTAAGTAGCTATTGTTTTTGTATGATTCACTCTATCTGGTAAATCATATTCAGGTTTTTAAAAATGAGAACTTTGATTGATATGCCAGCTGCATTCCTTTCTGAAAGATAATGATCTTAATATTATGATGCATACTCTGGAAACCTCTAGGCCAGGGATAGGCAACCTTGGCTCTTTTATGACTCGTGGACTTCAACTCCCAGAATTCCTGAGCCAGCATGGCTCAGCTTGGAAACTCTCCCTTTCCCTCAGCATGGCTGGCTCAGGAATTCTGGGAGTTGAAGTCCATGAGTCATAAAAGAGCCAAGGTTGCATACCCCTGCTCTAGGCTTAACCGTAGTAGACTCTAGATAGGGGTTACACTTATATTCAGTGTGAATACTTAAGTTGGTTTAAAACTCAGCAGTGAAGTTGGCCTTGGGAAGAATGTGATGAGACCACGTATAATTTGGTGTGTGTGTGTTTGTTTCTGGGTGAAATGCAAAGTGCTTTGTGTGTGTGTGTGTATGTGTGTGTGCATACATGCATACATGTGTGCATTTTTGACTATGGGTGACTGCGTGGATTACTTGTAGCTCCTGTAGGTTTTCTTGGCATGGCTTTTTTTTTTTGAAATGGTTTGCCATTACCTCCTTTCTAGGACTGAGAGAGAGTGGTTGGCTCAAGGTCAGTCAGCTGGTTTCATATTTAAGGTACGATCAGAACTACAGTCTCCTGGATTCTAGTCTGATGCCTTGTTCACTACATCAAACTGGCTCTGTTTTTGTTTCTGGGCAAAGAATATATTACAAATATTTTACAACCCCACATGGCGCATGTCCAGGGTTCTTAAGATAATGTTCTTTCTATAAAAACCTCAATGCTTATTGAGCCTTGTCTGTTTGGAACATACTCCCTGTAGAATTAAGGAATTCTAACATCTATTTTCTTTTCTAAAAGATCCTTAAAATGTATCATTTTGTATAGGCTTCTAGATGTTGATTTTGTTAATTTTAATTATTTGTTTACTTTTTTGCTTGCTATCTTAACAATTTTTAATATCATGGTTTTAAATGTGCTTTTATTGCAAACTGCTAAGAGCAGTGGACAGAGATAAATCAAATTAAGCAAGTAAATAAAACCAAAATTGTATGTTTTCCTGGCAGCTGTAATGGTGAAAAGAAGGAGATACAGTGTAAACAAAAAAGATGATGAATTTCTCGGGGGAGGAAAGAAGATTGCTTTGGGACCAGAAACCAGATGGGAACAAAGCTACTGAGAAATTGCAGCAGGATTGTGAAGGAAGCAAAGCAGAAGAATCTTTGCTCTTGTTTCAAATCAACTGTAGAAAAGATAGGGAAAAAATTCCTTCAGCCTCCAAACTGAGCCTACAATACATATTGTGCAAGGCTTCAGTCCATGTTCCAAAATGGCACAAAGCTATTGTTTCGTTTGGAGATTAATTCTATAAAAATTATCTGGGAGTATCTCCCATTAGTCTCAAAACGCTTGCATTTGACTGTAAAGGATTCTTTACAGTCATAGAATTACACACTATGGCTAGGCTAGCTTATTAAATTCTCATTCTATTTTTTTTTGTCTTGTATTTCAAGAATCTTGATTTCTGTATTCATGTTGTAGTATATTGGCATTGGACTGAATTTTAACTAAATTATCCATTTTATTTTGGAAAAAAAACCCAGCAAAACCCAAAAGCTTCTGGGCTGTCAGAAAAGAGATGTCCAAATGGCTGAAAGGAAAAGAGGCAAAATCTGTTATGACAGCACAGTGTTTTAGGTTTGATTCCAAAAGGGTACTTTCAGAATACATGGACTCAATCGCCTGCAACTCCTCAAAGCAGCCTCACCTTTTCTGGGATTACGAAGTTTTCTTGGGATAATTCTGTTTGGTTTTAGAGCATAGTTAAGAATATCAAGGTGGATATTCATACAAAAAGGAAATGTTCTTGGTCAAGCTTGATTCTTGGTTACTTCGGGGACTCATCCATGTAGATTTTATGGTACCAATACAAAAGTGGTTTTCTGTTACTTTCTATAATGTTTCAATATTTCAATCTAGTTTGCCGTCCAAGTCCTTCTTCATAATCTCCTATCCCAGTTCTAACCATATATAGTCTTCTTTAGCTTTATGAGATCAGCCAGGGTTGACTAGTTATTGCTACTTAGTTAGCCTTTATAGTGCTTCAGTGAAAAGGCATATTTTGCAAATTTTAGAACTGCATATAAAGGCAGTGAGAAAAACAGCTCATGGAAAGTTAAAAATCTTAGAATTGTAAAATGCTTGTATTTGCAAAAAATATATCTTGAAATTGCACAGAACTTTGGTATAAACGTTTGACATCATGACTGGTTCTATTGGTGATATTGTTACATTGATAACAGAATAGAAAAATATTTCTAAGTGGGCTCTCCCTTTCTAAATGTGTTTAATTTAGAGTGGGTTCCTCGGCTTAAGGAACAAGTTTAAGGAAACATAAACCATGCGGAGTGCAGTAAGGTATTTTACTAATCTGCTAATCTGAGATACATGCAGAATTTTTGATAACTTAAATTAAGTTTTTGTATTTGATTGAAAGAGAAGATAGAATTGAAACCTAAATTAATCTTAGGTGGATTCACTTAAATCAATCAAACTTGGTTATGCTTAATCAGTGTTCTTATTCAATGTACAATTCAATGTTCTTATTCAATGTACAATGTACAATTAAAATAAGATACAACTTATATTTAATAAAAACAACAACAACAACAACAATAATACGGTAATAATAATAATAATAATAATAATAATAATAATAATAATAATAATAATAATAATAGGAACTGCTTCCATCCTGCAACAATATCTGTAATACCATCAAACATCCACATCTCCCTATCCCAGGTCCTTGGTAAGGACTCGATCAGTAGACAAAAATGCCAAATCCAGTCTGAACATCTGGCTGACTATGTGATAATCAACAGCAATAACAACAACAATAATAATAAAGTTGGAAGGGACCTTGGAGGTCATCTAGTCCACCCTGCTCAGGCAGGAAACCCTATACCAGTGATGGCGAACCTTTTAGAGACCGAGTGCCCAAACTGCAACCCAAAACCCACTTATGCATGGTCGGGTGCCGAGTGGGTGTGGCCCATTGGGTGCGTGTGGCCTATTGGGTGGGCGGTGGTAACAGCAGACTGGGTGGGACTAAAAAGTTCAATCAATCAATTCCAACTTTGCAAGATCTTTTTTTTCCCCGCGAGAAGTTGAAATTGACTGATTGATTGAACCTTTTTTTTTGTACACGGTGGCGGAGACCTAAAGCGAAAAGGTTTTATAAACCCAGCTGAAGGCCTAGGACTGGGACGACGGAGCGCGTGCCCACAGAGAGGGCTCTGAGTGCCGCCTCTGGCACCCATGCCATAGGGTCGCTACCACTGCCCTATACCATTTCGGACAAATGGCTGTCCAGTCTCTTCTTAAAAACTTCCAGTGTTGGAGCATTCACCGCTTCTGGAAGCAGGTTGTTCCACTGGTTAATTGTTCTAACTGTCAGGAAGTTTCTCCTTAGTTTTCTGACAGAAATAAATATATAATGGGTGTATTTAAAGTTAATAAAGTTAACATACTATATATGTGTGTGTGTGTGTGTGTGTGTGTGTGTGTGTGTGTGTGTGTAAAATACATAGGTTATATATGCATATACCTATAGGCTCTACCTATTTGTATTGCCTTTTCTTTTTCAGAGAGAGACCAAAGGCCAGTTTCTCATAGATCATGTTTGCAATCACTACTGTTTGCTAGAAAAAGACTATTTTGGCATTCGCTATGTGGATTCTGAAAAACAGCGGGTATGTATACAAATTCTCTCATAATTTATTTAAAGTGATGTTATTTCAGTGAAACTGCTAGCTAGTATACTTTCATTCCTCTGGCACAAATGCTTTAAATAGTGATGTCCAAAGAGATGATAAGTGTTCATTTTGAGCCAAAATATATGTTATTGCCAGAGAATTGGCAGCTAATTAAGGATATAATGTGAAGGTAACTGTGTTTACTGTTGTGTCACTTCCTCAACAATGCCTATTTCAGTGCATTTGGAATGGGATTTCTAAAGAACCTAGCCTTAAGTTATAAGGATTACCATAGAGCATGGGTGTCAAACTCGCCATGTCACGTGACGTGTCGTGACGTATTGCGACTCTTTTTGCATTGCCGGCAATGGGGTGGGTGCAGCTTCGATGTGATGAAACTGGCCCGTGGGCCGGCAGTTTGACACCCCTGCCATAGAGCCAATCTCCGGTGAAGCCTTTTTAGCTTAATTAGAGCTTCAAGTGATTAATGATTTTAAGAAGACATCCTTCAGCTTAGAATGTACTGGGTTCTGATTACAAGTACTTTTCATGGTTATATCAGAGGCATATCTTGACTGAGTGATAATCTATATCTTAATCTATCTTCACAGACATTACTTTGACCTGCTTAACTGAGATAATGTAATCAAAAATTGACTTACTTTCTCCTAATGTACTGTAAGCAGAATGTTTCAACCTGGCTAATATGATTGGATTTAATTTAGTTGAATCCAAATCTGTCCACTTTTTCTCATATAGGCAAACAATAAAATATGCAAACAGTGAGTTAGGCAATTTATTTTTTATTGAAAATAAAATCAAAGTGCAAGAACATACTTCTGAAATTCAACTTGCAACCAATCTTCAAATGGCTCCTTAGACTTTTAAAATTATAGCTACCAGATCTGCCTATGGACATTCTCAGCCATCCAGGTCATGATTGTCCCAAAGCTGCTTTTTCAAAAAGCAACTGAACTTTGCTTTTTCCTTGATGACATTTTGCTTCCCATCCAAGAAGTTCTTTAGTTCTGATTGAATGGTGGAGAATGGAAAGATTTATATTCTTTGCAGTCATCTGCAAGGAATATAAATCCTTCCATTCGTCACCATTCAGTCAGAATTGAAGAAGCTTCTTGGATAAGAAGCAAAACATCTTCAAGGAAAAAAACAAAAAAAGTCCACTTGCCTTTTGAAAAAGCAGCTTTGGGAGTACCAGATCTGTGTTGCAGAAATTCACATAATCAAAAGTCGACAGCAGAGAGTTAGCATTGCTGTATTTCTTTGTTGCCATCTAATGGCTTTCTGGATTTTTTTCAACCTAGATTTTGTACAAATATCTTCCTCATCAAGAAACAAAGCTTTCAGTGAAGCAGTATATCTGCCAGATGCACCAATAAATTTGATTAATCTATTAAAAGTATTTGCAAGAGGTGCCTTCCAAAATATATGTTTTATGAATGCAGCATCCCTTCTCAAAAATTTATGGTTTGACTGTCTGTAATTGTATATATATATAGCGTCAGTCTTTTGCTGGAAAAGTAAGTGTTGCTGTACGCATACATGGAGACAACTAGAAGTAACCTTTGAAGCAGTCACAGGAGACTTTAACGAAGAGTGTGAGTGCTTTGCTTCTTTGTGCTAACACACTTTTCAAATGCTTTGCACTTCTATAAGTTTACACATAATACAACCATTTAGTCTTGTGCTTCATATAGCAAAATAACTAAAACTATTGCTTTTATGTAATTAGAACAAAAAGAATGTGATGCTTTTCAGGTGGGTAGGAAATGAAATCAATTTTTACATTTTGACGCACAAACAAAACATGAAAGTAATAAAAATTGTTAGATCAGAATATTGTTTAGCATACCATCCCAGTATTTCTGAATTGTGCCGCTTGACTTTCAAATACGACAGAGTTTGCTTAATTACAGAATCTGCATTTCTAGAACCCTATAGCTCAACTAAGATTTATTGCTTATATTGAAGGATTCATTCAGATTTATGAGTGTGTTAATCCATTGCTGAACTGCACAAAATGATAGGCCTTTTGATGGAAGAAATAATGCACACAGCCAGCTGGATAGCAATAGCTCAGTGTTTTTATAACAGTAGCAATATTTATCCTTTGAAATTGTTCTTTGTTAGAATTTGATCTCTCTCAGAATCTCTTTCAGATGCTCCATTATAAAATGTATTTTAATCTATGGCTTAAAATAAAATAGTCAGATATTCTGGAGAAGTGTTGTTAGTGTCCCTAAGACTAATCTCATACTTTGCTGATATCTATATAGTAGTTCATAAAATAAAAATAGCTTCAGGCTTCTTGCTGATGCAGAGGGATGCATTTCCACTTTTGCTGTTATTTGGAAGTGGATATATGCATTACGGAATAGGATCAATATTTAAAAATGTAGCTCATGCAGCAGCTTTTATTTAGCTAATTAAATAATTCTGCAGTAGAGAAGGATAGGAAGGTAAAGCCCAATTCTTATGATTTTAAAGCTAGCAGAATATTTTGACAAGTCTTAATATTGGCTTAATTTGCACTAATTAAGAGCTAGTCTTGCTTGTAAGGGCAAGTTGAATATAGACTCTAGGCTTTTTCCCCAGCTTCTTTCACACAGCATTGTATTTCAGCTGTTGTGACACATGCCTTTGGGGGTAAGATTGAAGATGGAACTATAAACACTATGACTTTGTTACTGCATTTTTAAAGGTTGCTCTAATTTTTGCCTCCTGTCAGTTTAGTCTATATATGTCATTTGTGTATGAACGACGTATTCCACACAAAGGAGACAGAGATGTGCAGATCATTAGTTTCCTTTTTTTTCTAGCCACAGATTCATCTTTCTTATTTATTTATTTATTTATTTGTTTGTTTGTTTGTTTGTTTGTTTGTTTATACATTTATAGGCCACCTATCTCACCTCAAGGTAACTTGAGTTATGAACCCCAAAAACAAAGGAGACAGAGATGAGCAGATCATTAATTTCCTTTTTTTTTCTAACCACAGATTCAGCTATTTATTTATTTATTTATTTATTTATTTATTTATTTATTTATTTATTTATTTATTTATTTATAAATTTATAGGCCACCTATCTCACCTCAAGGTAACTTGAGTTATGAACCCAAAAATCCATTAGAAATGAACACACTTCCTTCATGGATGTGCTATTATTGCCTAAGATAACTGGCAGCTCATACTAATATCTTGTTATTCATTTTTCTAGTAGAAATAGAAAATAGATACAGAATAGATACATGGGAACTCCTTGAAATTTGATTCCAGTGGCTGAAATCTAGAGGTAGATTTCAGAATAGTTAGACAAATGGACCATGATAGTACCCTACAGACCAATAAAAACTACATGGAATTAAAATCTAGTTTACTTTGAAACTATAGTCAAGAGTGCCAAATAAGCTGAAATGTAATTAAAATCGGTTTATTTTTATGTGAGGTCAGAATCCCCCAATGGAAAATTGTTCAAAGTTAATGAGATTTAGTATTTATACTTTGGGACTTCTTTTTCTATTAAAATTTTCACAACAGCAATACTCCTTACAGTTGAGTCCTAAAATAAGTGTCATAATTTTTTATCATCATTGACTGTTTCTTTTTTGTATTAATTGAGCAAGTAAGTTAAAGCTAATAGTTCTTTCCAAAGAACCATTGATTTCCCAGTCATGTATTTTCTTTCACAATTTTCCTCCATTACTCTTCCTTTGTTTTCTGTCTTCTCCTATTAAATCCATAACATTCCATAGCCACTAATCATTCATCAATGTTGTTCTTTTCTTTAGAGGCAAGTGCAAGAGACTAAGGCAATATAAATGATGAAAACAGTACTGCACTATTACAATTCAAAGTTCTGTCCATTTTGTAAGTGTGTCATGAAGTTGCACACACAGTCTAAAAAACGACAGAGTTTTAATGCAGGCTTTGGACCTGGAGAACACCTTTCCTTCCCTAATATTTATGTTTGTTTATTTTATTTATTTATGTATCATACTTCTTAACTACCTGTAGAGGGGCTCCGGGCGGTGTTATTTTCTGACAAATCCACTGACACTTTTTTATACAGTTGACACTATGATATTATTTCAAATATAAAGTAATTAATAAGTCTGTGCCTGCATTGAAATAATAATAACAATAGACATATACTTTAATTAACTGTATGCAACCTGCATAACACTCAAAAGTGAACAGTGTTTTTCAACTTTGGCTATTTTTAAGATGTAGGGATTTCAACTTCCAGAATTCCACAGCCAGCATATTTGCTGGGGAATTTCTGGAAGCTGAAGTGCATACTTCTTATATTTGCTGAGGTTGAGAAATACTTCTCTAGAAAAAAATATAATTAGTGAGGTTGTTGAATTTGCAGGTAAGACACATTTTTTCCAAATAATTCCAAACTCTCAGATAGAGTGAAAAACTGCAGTTTTTTTCAAAACCTGCTGACTAGATAGCAAAAGGGGTAGATTGGAGTCAACATTAATTTCACTGTCCCACCCATCAGGGACACCCATTTCATTTGTTGATAGATCTTAAACTTAGCTCTAGAAATACTTTGGTCTTACAGTAGAAATTAAACATATTGGCACCATCTCCTTTTCAGAAACTAATATTGGACTACTTTAAATCAGAACACTTAGCATCTCTGTGAATGTCTCATGATATAAGAAAATATAATCAAAATAATATTTTATTTCTTCCACTCATGATTAATGCTTCCCTAGATGTAGGAATAATAGGCACATATAGGAAAATTGGCATTTAATATTCTTAAACCTTTTTTTAAAAAAAAAGACCCTTGTAAGTTCCAATGAAATAACCTTTCCCATGTTGAGGCTTTGTGCTGTGGAGGCATACATAACAAATAAGTCTGCTCAGCAGTGTGAATAATTGCAAGGACACCTGCCATGGTAAATAGCTAGTAGCTATTGCTGGATATTAAAATGCTGATTAGAGATGATGTTTAGAAAGTGTAGAGCAATATACTTTCCAAAAAAAGCAAGCAATAAGAAAAAATCCTGCAGGTGCAACTGTGTCCTAGTAAAGGTTGTATACTAATAACCCATTGCCCTCAGAATAAAAAAAAGTTCTCTAAAAGTCTTCAGTTTGTCATTTTAAGAAATATAACTAATATAAATATTAACCAATTCAATTATTTCCAGAATGATATAAAATACTGGTTTACATAAATGAACTATGCAGAAATGTGCATTTATGAAATGGTCAGGTGAATGTCTAAACAATATGAACCAATGTAAATATACATTTATTGACTTTGATGGTTTGTAGCAATTTAATTTGCTTATGTGTGCACTTTATTTTTTCTTGACTTGCACTAGGAGAAAACAAATTTACATGGTTGCTAAGCATATAATCAAATCAGCAGTCTGTTTCTCCACAAGTACCCACTTAAAAGTAATCCGGGAGAAATACTTAGATATTGTGACCTCTAGAGCTCTCTGTTCCTCATTAAAGCATTTGTATACAACATTTTGTTTAAATTTCCATACAAGCTTGAGAAAAGATTCAGTTCATTAAAACAGTAACATCTTTTTAAAGGAAGCTTAAAAAGAGATGAGGCTGGCTTAATAAATAGCAAAGAGATGCTATGTTCATACAATTTCAAAACAGGTTTTTGAATAGTTTTTGAAGAGTGCACTGCTTTAATATGCAAATATTTTGTTTAATTTTATCTCGCAGTGTTGTTTTGTGGATAATTTATGTACAAAAGAATAGGATCTTATAAGACTTCCAGACTGCCTTGGAGGGAAAAAAAACTAAATAAAAATGTAGCAAGATAAAGTAAGGATCTTTTTATTAAATTAGGAAACTGCTAGTATATTTGTACCTCTTCATAGAAACTGCATAATACTGAATCTAAAATCGGCCATTCTTTACTCCCCTGTTCAAGTTTGAACAAACTTAAATATATCTATTATGTATTTGTGATCTCATTAGCTGGTGCTGTTCACTTACAGATGTTACTTTCTGTCTTTCCTCAGACATGTATGTCCTCATTTTGAAACTGTTAATAGAAACACAATAGAAATCACAGCTAAGACGACACTGTTATCAGTTTACTACAATCTTGTGCTTGTAAGAAAATGATATTTTTTGCAATACTTTTGACTGGTGGCTTCTATCTTTTTTTACAGCATTGGCTTGAGCCCAATAAATCTATCTTCAGGCAAATGAAATGTAAGTGTTAGAAGCCCATTTCATATATTGAACTGTTATTTTAAAATGCCAGTGTTTTGCAATAATTTTCTGCATTATGCCTTATTTAAAAAAATAACTTCAATAAATAACTTTAATATATTCTGTTTAAGGCATTGAGCTCTCTCTCTATATTTTTTTTTAAAAAATTAGAACAGCCTTCCTCAATCAAATGTGCTTTCATACAATATCAGCCAACAGGATTAATGGATGATGGGATTTAAAGCCTAACACACAAAGAAAAAGCTGATTGAGAAAGGCTAACAACTTGAGAAAGGAACTTGGGAAGCAGCTAAAGAGGGGTGGGGATCTAAAAATATATTCTTCAATTCATTTTAAAGTTAGTATTCTATGGATTTGTCCCCTTAGGCTTCATTGGAGGATTTTGCCTAGCTTTTCAGCAGTGTTATCTAATCTATGATGTAGCTCCAAACACATTCCTCTACAAAGCTCTCCAGTTGGAAACTTCATAGTTCTAAGCTCCACATTGCATTAGGAACAATGAATTATTTCCCTCTCCTGCCCACATCATTTGCTTATTTTTTAAAAATAAAAACAGCTTGGCTTTTCCAGAGACTTACGTTCAATAACTGAGTCAAAAACAAATATTCCATTAAGTTACAGTTTGAAGTATCTAAATCTACATTATATATATGTAACTTGCAGTGCCATTCGAAATCCAGTATGCAAGAACAGTATCTGACATAAGGCCATTCCTTAGGCTTTTTGGATGACTGGGATGATTAATGGGTTCTTGGTTTCAAGCATGTCATTCCTATGCCCAGAGCCAACCCTCTAGACAGAAATCATAGGCTTTCCATTTTCTTCTTTTATGGATTCTGCTCAGGGAACAAATGGGGATTTGAACTATCAGGTCCCTTGAGGAGAAAAGGATTTGTGTTAGAAAGAGTGGGAAATAGGAATCCTACATGTTTGCCTGCCCAGCTCTCAGAGACTCAGTTAAAGTGTCCTCTGTTCTAAGGGATAAAGTTTAATTTCATTTAAGCTGTCATTCTGTGATTACTTCTTTTAATTGTGGAATGGCTGTCTGATCTATTGGCACAACTACTATGATCTTCTAGAGATTGCATCCTAAGTCTTCAAAGAAAGCTCAGTTTGCAGTCCATAAATGCTTAACGGTGAGACCTATTGCTTGATCTATTGACATATGCTTTAGCTGCTCTATGACAAAAAGAGAAGTTTTATCCACATACCCTCAGTAGAATTGCCATTTTTAACAAAGGCATTAGTGCCATTTCTAGCATCTAGCATTGTGTTACAGAAGAAGGATCAATATACATAAATGGATATAATTAGGGCTCAGACTGTATACTTGCATATTCACTAATGGCTATTGAATCGATGGAACATCTTTTGTTTAAACATGTATAGGATTATGTTGCAGCCTTAGCTGTTGCAAGCATTTTTTTATCTCTAGAATAAATAATATCATTTAAAGTAAGTTTTCTAAGGGAGATGAAATGCATTAACAAATCAATTATATATTACAAGAAGTACTGAATATGCTTGGAATTCCTTACTCCCTAATCTACATTATCTTTACCTGATGTTCTTCCATTGGAATATGAGACTTCTGGTTTTAGGAAGACCTTCAGTTTGTTGTGACTTATAGGTTTTACTGTTTTATTGTTGCTTTTACAATTTTTATGTTTTTCTACTTTTTCTATAATGATCTTTCAAATATTTTCATAATATTTTAATTTCTTTCCCTTTTAAAGTGAAGCTGTGATACTTATTTTAGGATTGTTTAAGTTTAAATAATCCATAATGCCTTTATTAAGAACCAATCATTTTCATCTTTTTTCCCATACCCTCAGGGAAAGTATCATGTGTTATACAATGGTAGTATAATAAGATTAGATAAAAACACTCAAACTGACCAAGATTCACAAACTTCAAGCAGATGCAGGCTCTTTTGCATTCAACTTCAATTCCCAGTGTGTGGTGTACGGATGCTGAAATTATTTTTTCCCCTTTGTTTCATACCATTGCATCTCTCCTCAGGGTCCAGATAAGAGTCCCCTCCCCCCGCCACCTGTTTCTAAATGTATTTGAATAGAACTTTCTAAAATAAGAGCTGAGCACATGAATATGTTTTATTTTAACAAAGAAAATGCTAGAATCAGATTAATTATACAATCGAATATTGAAATTCATGATATCTAGCAGAAATAAAGGTAGGGAAGCAATTATATATTGTGTAATTATGCATGCATGTATATAATTAATATGTACATAATTACATACATACAATTATGTGCATATATAAGTATGTACATAGGAAATCCCTACATGGCTTGGAGCCAAGTTGTTTGACAGATTACCTCTCTCCAATTGTATCTATCCAGCCCACCAGAACCGGAAGGCAGGGCATGTTGCAGGTCCCAACTATCAAGGAAGTACACCTGGTGGGGCCTAGGAAAAGGGCCTTCCCTGTGATGACTTCCTTCCTATGGAATATCATTCCCCCAGATCGAGCTCTGCTCGATCCCCAGGAACCTTAGATCCTCCGGCCCGGGCCCACCGGCTGATGTTATGCAACGCCAGGTCCGTGGTAAATAAGGCCCCCCTCATTCAAGAACTGATTCAAGAGGGGGGAGCGGACCTGGCGGGTATCACCGAGACCTGGTTGGGCATGGAAGGGGGAGTTCCCCTTGTTGATCTGTGCTCACCAGGTTTCCAAGCATTCCATCAGCCGAGGGCCCGGGGTAGGGGCGGGGGGGTGGCGGTCATTATAAGGGAGAATATGTGTCCAAGGGAGACCACTGTGCCTCAGATAGACGGTGTTGAGTCCCTCCTTGTGAAGTGGGGGCAAGGGGTGCAAGTGGGCTTGTTGATAATATACCTGGCCCCCTGCTATGTGTCAAC